GCCTCTTGGAGGGCTGGAGATGGCATTCCCAATCAATTTTTGGCGGGTCTGAGGGTTCTAGTTGTTGATGATGGTCCAACATGTCTCGTGATCTTGGAGAGGATGCTTAGGAAATGTCTTTATGAAGGTAGACTTGTGTTTCTTACATGTTTTTCTCCTTTCTATGATTTCAATTTTTTCTTCAAGATGGGTTGTTTCTTTTCTTCTTTTTAGGATGTTTATTACTTGTAAAAGTATAATTTCTTGTGTTTTTCTAGTTTCTGTTGGATTTTTGTTTTTGGGTTTTCAACAAGAGAAAGAAAGGAATGAAGCTTCTTTCTCAGATTTGGGAACTGTATGAAATCTTCAATGCTTTCAGCTTTAATTATGTTCTGAATCAAATCATGGATTACAGCAATGTTCTGTTGTAACTTTGTCTTGCTCAAAAGAGGTCAATTTGAGTTCTAATTTGTTCATATGTGTTAAAGAATGTGTTTTCTTGTGAATGTGTGTTGGTTTATGGTCTTCTAATTTGTTCTAAGTGAATGTGTGATATGGATGGTTCATGTAACTAGTGACATGCTTATGATATGCATTTTCTTGTTGTTATTAATTCTCTTATGGGTGAATTACTACAATTTCTATGGAGGAAATTATAGGAGGTTAGACTTGCTTTTATTATGTGCTGCTGAACTATAGCTGAATTCTTCACTCACTTATTAGTATTTTGAGTCTTGCAATTTTTGCATAACTGGTTTGTTTGTTAAAGGTTTGAACTTTTGATTACAATTTTTTTATTGAGGTAAAAATCGTTTCAAACTTTCAGGTGATCTTAGGGTTGTACGTAGAGATTGAGAAAAACCAATAGAAACTGTGATAAAATAGAAAGGATTAGTGAGCTTGAAATGACTAAAAGGGGGCTCTAACGATTTAAAGCCAGAACAATAGATGTTAAGAATAGGATGCAAGAGGAGTTTCTTTTCTCTTTGAAGTGTATCCATAGAGAATAGGTGATTCTTTGGTCTATTCGAAGGGGATTAGGATTGGCTTTGTCTTCGATGCAGCCATAGGGATAGGGATTGCTTGAGTTGAGTCTGAAGTGAGGACATGAAGTGAGGACAAGAACTTTTGTTTTTAGGTTTTAATTTGTTAATGAGCTAGTTCTTTTCCCGAACAATATTCTATAGCTTTGCTTGTGCAAGCTAGTTCTATTTGTTTGTTTTTCTTGAATTTTGGTTTGTGCGTGTTTGTTACTTTGTGTTTCTTGTTTTTCCACTCCATTTTCAAAGAAATTGAGACTTTTTTTTTTTTAATTTTTTGGAATCTACTATTTGGGAATCTTTTATTTCTATATATGCTTGGAGTTGGAGTTTATTTTTGATTTTGAGGGTCAACTAGTATTGGATTTAATATTGATGAATCTCACCATTATTTTAGTCTCTAATGCCTGTCACATTTTTGTTCTTAGCTAAATTTGATTGGATTATGGCTAGACCTAGTATGGTTGCTGCCTTTCACAGCCATCTATAGAATTTAATTATTTATTTAGATAAAAAAAGAAAAAAAAAA